TGTCATCAAAAGATGACTCAAGTTTTATTTTATTTTTGTGTTTTATAATTCCAATTGGAGGGTAGGAAGGCAAAACGAAGGCTTTGCCTTTACAATACCATTCTGTTATTTATATTTGTCAGGATGGTTCGCCTGGCTGTTTGTTAAGCAGATAATTCAAATTGTGATGTCTTTTTGGTTGCATATCATCTCTGTTTGTCCAGCTGGCGCAAGTGTTTGTGCAGTATGTACCTTTCGGATCACACTTCCGGCCTTAATTCTGAATCTCAAAGTTTTTAAAAAAAGGCCAGAAAAATGGAATGCATTTATAGCTATCGGGAATTCAGTGGCTGATCACTGTCCGGATTTAACACTGGTCGAGATGGGTGCGACGAGAGACTATTGTTCTGTTCTTATGTTGAAAGTTCTAGAGGTATCGCGACGAATGACTTTGGAACGTGTAAGTTCGTCGCTCGGTTTTGTTATTTTTTAATTGTATTGAATTTAAATACTTATAGTTCATCTTATGGTGTAACCTAAGAAAATTTTATACGGAGATATAAATTTTTGCCGTATCTTTTGTACTGATAAAGTACAGTTATGCATCAGGATAAGACTTTTTCTAAAATTTTTTTCTTCGTCCGTTTTTCCTTCCTTCTTCACCCCACTCTTATTCCATCTAATCTCACTGTCAAATCACCGTCATACTGACGAGGTCTTGACACGGTGTTGAGTTAAGGCGTACATGACTTAATGGACCGAAACGTCTTATCTCACTCTTATCTCCTTCTCTCGTATAGTAACCGGCTTCCAAGGTCAGCCTGGTTGCTACAGTCTGCTTGTACAGTTTGATGGACCGAAACATCTGTATTCTAGTTTCTCTTACTATACATCTGTATATCTGAAAGTGAAAAAAAGAAAGCACAAATTTAAAAAAAAAGTTTTTTTTTCACTTAGATCAAGATAATTGCTTCTACATAATTCCGACCACTACTACAGCAACTACTGGTTCCGTGTGTATCCGGGCATCTGTGAAGGGCACTGTTGTCATGGGCGGATCCAGAGGG